AGGGGGAGGGGGGGGGGGGGTACCTGTGCCATGGACAGACGAAAGATGGAACAAAATGAGGAGGAACAAGAGGAAAGCCTGTGAATGAACAAAAGAAACAGAAGACAGGGGGACAGGTCCCTCCCCACATTGCCCTGCTCACCGAGCTGCTGCGATGGGTGACTTCTTGGTAGGGTCCAGCAGGCTACCTAGGCCACCAACTGGTTCCTCCCCCAAGGAGCGTGTGTCTTTGTTCAGCTGCTGCAGACGGGAGCTGAGCTCACTGATCACAGTTGGTTTGTCATCTTCAGGCCCAGGGAGTCCCCGGCTCTCCACGGGGTCCCCCCACAGCTTGGACCTTCTCTGGAAGAGGTAGCGAGGGCGGGCAGGCCCAGCAGTAGAGGCCAACCCAGTAGAGGCGGCATGATGCTGCTGGGCCATGAGCTCACTGTCCGAGGACTGCTTCAGCAGCGGGTCCCTGAAGGTCACCGGCCCCTTCCCCAGTGGGGACTTGAGCTTAGGCTTGGGAGGCACTGGTGGCTTCTCGAGTAGAAAAGTGTGTCCATCAGCAAAGGAGGTGTGGGTGTCAGTGAGTTCCCCACTTTCTGAGCTCAGGGTGGACATGCTGGACACCGTAGAGATGGTGCTTGTGGTCTCCAAGTGGGGGTCACTGGAGCTTCGAGTGTCAGCCTCCTCTACTCCAGAGTCAGCTGCAGACTCAGGGGCAGGGGGCATCTCACTGCTTGGCTTCCCTGAGGCCAGGCTGGGCACCGTGGTGGGCAAGGGGCCCGGGCCAGAGGGTGGGGTGGCCAGCAGAATCCCATTGGCAAACTCTTCAGGGGGTGGCACTAGCCCAATACGGGCCAGCTCCTCTCTGGTTTCTTCATCACTGGAGGACAGCTGGGCAGGAGGCAGGTTCACAGCAAATACCAGCTCTGGCTCTTCCTCTGAGCTGCCCTGGCCTGGCCCAGGATCTGCTGTAGTGCTGCCAGGGGGCTGGGCCCGGGGACTAGGCAGGGGTTCTGCCACAGCCGCTGCCTGCATAGGGGCTGGGGTCAGCTCTGGAGTGTCTGGGAGCTCCTCTTCAGCCCCTAGCCTGCTGGGCTCCTGTCCATTGCTGGTGGCATGCACAACAATGAGACCAGCTGGTCTCTGTAAGGATGTGTCCAAGACACTGAGGATCATGGACTTCTTGTCCTCGGGTGACTTCCTCTCCTCACGGGGCGGCTTCTCTGCCTCTCTGCGAGCAGGCACAGGAATCCAGGCTGGGCTCCGAGGAGAGAAGGCTGGGGAGGCCAGGGGCCCTCGCTCTGAGTCTCTGGCCTGTACATCCACAAACAGGGGTCCAGGGCGGTCAGCATCAGGACTGTGAACGGGTGTGGGGGACCTAGAGGGTGCCTGGGAGGCCAGAGCCCGCTCTCGCGCAGCCAGGGCAAGAGCCAGGGGTGAGCTAGGATCCAAGGGTTTGCCAGTGAGTGGGTGGATGAAAGTGGTGCCTGAGGGCCCAAGGCTGGGGCCGCTGACCAATGGCTTCAGAGCAGAGACAGGGGAGGGGAGCAGCAGATCGCGGCCGGTGGTGGCACCTGTCCCCAGGAGGCGTTCATCAATGGAGCGGGAAGGCTGCAGGGATGGCAGGTCAGCACTGGGAGGGCTGCCCTCGATGGCACCCACAGATAAGAACACAGTAGAGCGACGTCGCTCCTCCAGGCGTCGCTCTTTGCCTGGGCCAGGGCCGCCAAAAGTGAGCCCAAGGCCTTCTCCAGAGCTGTAATCAAGGCCACCCTGCCGGGGCCCCGGCCCACGGTGCGTAGGGGAGGGCTCTCGAGCAAAGCTTCCACCCACTGGGCCGGGGCTGCCCACGGCCAGAGCCGCGCGCTCCTGAGCGTCCTCCACCTGAAGTTGCTTCACCAGTGGGCTCTTGCGGCGCTGCGGTTTGGACGGTGCAAACAGGCTGGCACTAAAAGCGCCCAGGTTGGCGTAGGGGCTGTCAGGACCTGACTGCCGAGGCCGACGCTTGGGGCGCTCAGGCGGCGTGGCTGCAGGCGCGGGCCGGGGTACATCGCCCACCTCTGGCGCTGAGTCTTGCAAGATGATCATGGAGCGTGCGCGCTTCTGCCGTTCAGGGTAGGGCAGCGGGCCAAGAGGCGCACCAGGCTCATACAGGCCGGTGGCCCCCGCACCCAGGCGCGCCTCCAGGCCTGGCTTGAAACTGGAGCGCACAGTGTCGTACGCTCGACTTGGAGGTGGCGGTGGTGAAAAGGTAGGGGGAGGCCCCGAGTCGAAGTAGTAGGGCGCAGGTGGGGGTGGTGGGGCAGTCTGCGGAGGGGGCGGTATGCCACGACCCTCACGCACGGTGTCCTGCATTGATGTGCTGCGTGGGAAGCGCCCTTCCAGCAGAGACGCCAGCTTCTCATCCTCCCCTGGAGATAGAGGGACCAGGTGAGTCTGGCATGGGTGCTGGCCAGTTGATGAAAGGCCTCTGTGGACCCAGCCAGTCCTATCCTGCCTCTACCCCAGGGCCATCTCAGCCCCATCATGGACGGGATCAGGGCCTACAGATGGCCAAAAGGAAGAGCCGGCATTCTGACCAAAAGGCCAGTCTGGTCTCATACCAGGACACCCAAGCTCTGTTTCGGCTCCTGTTCAAGTAGGGTGAGCTCTTGTGAAGGGCCCAGGATGGAGCCTTCAGTCCAGTCCGTGTGGAGGGCTGCTCCTGTGGAGGCTCTGGGATAGTATCCACACTTGGACTATTTGGATTGAGACAAAGATCTCCCCCAGCCCTGTGGACATGGAACAAGCCATAAGAAGACACCAGGGAGGTAGAGAAAGCCTCCCAAAACAGCTCAGAGGACTTTAAGGGTGGTTAGGGATTCCTACTCAAGGCTGAACAGGGTAGCTCAGAAACATCCAGTGAAACAGCAGGAGTCAATGGGAGACCCTGATGGCAACCAGAGGTAGGAAGGAAGATAGTCAGAAAGAGGTACACCCCTCCCACCCCCAGAACAAGAGTAAAACCCAGATGAGAGGACAATAGGACTATGGCAATCAGCCCATGAATATGGCAGAACTGGTGCTGATGTCTAGGGTGGGAGGCTGGGAAATCAGCCTCACAGGTTCCTTAGAAAAACTCTCATGGACTGGCCTGCAGGAGACTAAGAGGTTGATACCCTAGCCACAGGTTAGAATTCAGGGAGGCTCCGTAGGTGGGTGGAAGAATGGATGGGTAAACTAAACTGGAATTGAAGACCAAGCACCCAAGGTATGTTTCAGTTTTGCCCCTACTAATTATGTCACCCCAAGTCAGCCTGTGAGCCCCTCTTGAGTCTGTTATCTCATAGCCTACACAGGCTTAAACCTGTCCTCCAGTTTGTAAATGTCATTAGGCTCTAGTAACCAGCTAGAACCTCACAGAATCGCTGGTGTCCCGTCAGACATAATGTAGACAACTGTGCAATTATATACAGTGAGACTGCAAGTGCTAGGTGGTCCAACCCAAAGAACAGAAGACAGACTACATGGTGACACACTATCTCTGGCTCTGCTGCCACAGGTATAGCAAGAGTAGGTTTACTGTAAACTTAGGGTTGAATTCCAGCTTCACAAAGTCACCTCTAGGAATCTCTCATCACAGACCCATCTCCCCCGTCACAGGACCATTTTATAGTTTACATTGCAAGGCAATAAGCAGCAACACCCAGGAAGGTGGTTGGGGTCCATTGGTATTTCTAGATCTGCCTGGCTTGTCCTGCATAGCACAGGAACAAACACTAAACATTTAAAAGTATGTATGTTAGATACAGCTATTCAGGAAGAACTCATATTACCTCAAAGATGTTGAAGGCAGGAGTGATGTGTAAAGATGAAAGGGGTAGGGCATGCTAAGTTCTACCTTAGGATAAAGAAAAATCACCTACTCTGCAGGGAATAGGGGTCTGTGTTGACACCAAGGAAGGCCCTTTCTGTCTGCTAGGCAAGAGCAGAATTTCTTCCTGGGTATTCATGGCCTCAAGAAATGGCCTGGATGGATCAAGGGACTGTCATAGCTTCTCCACAAGCATATGTTCAAGGGGAAAACAGAGAAGTCCCTTCAGGCAGTCTCCATTTTCACAGGTTATAGTCCTGAAGTTCCAAGGGTTGTATTATGGGCCTGGAGGCATGCATCCATGACCTGTGATGGGAGCCCAAAGAGCCTGACAATTCAGCCAATGCTCATGCTGGCAACTGGCAGTATGTCAGCCATGGGGGAGCACCTGCTGGCCCAGTGGAAAGTTGTATGCAGAATGAGCCAGTGGAAAGAGCTGGCAGGCTTGCCAAGGGACTTGAGGTCTATATAGCAAATGTCACAGGTCTAGACCTACAGTGCTCATCTCTGGTACTAGGCAGGGCTGAGGAAAGACCATCTAGGAAGAGAGAAGACAAGTAAGCAACAGTGAGTATGGGAAGAAGATCTGTATCAGAGAGGCAGCAACACATGTCCCCAAATAAAGCCGGATAGGACTGGTGCTCTGGGGAAGTGAGATAACATAAGCCCAGCCAGTTGGTGGGACTTCAGGTGATAACTGTGCTGCTGAAAGCTTCCTTTGCCAGAGGGAGAGGCTAGAGGGCAGATCCAGGGCAAAAGGACACAGGGAGGACAAAGCTGTGGACCATTTACAAGACAATGAGGCCTGGGCCAAACAGTTAGAAAGAATGCAAGGATGCAACCCACCACTAACCTGTCAAGTGAAGTGAAAGAAACCATGGAGAATGCTGTTTGGGCCTGGGAGGGCAAAAAGGAGTACCTCTTGGCTCCAAAGTAACTGCAGTTTCACCAGTTGCCTTTCCCTGCCTTTCCACTTAGAGAAATGATCACTGTCAGTACATGAAGGGCCCTGCCATACAACTGTGTCTTTTTACAATATTTTATTATTTTTATTCTATGTGTATCAGTGTATTGTCTGCTTGTATGTAAGTGCACCTGTGTCATACAATGAGAAACTCCTAATTACCCTATATTCTAAGTACAAATGCTGATGCTCAGGTGTGGTTAGACTTCCTAAGGACCCATTTGTATGCATACCTTGACACCCACCATATAACTGATGAACTGACTCATCTGTAGATAATGTCACCTTCCAACTGAAACCCAGGTCCATTCCAAGATCAGTTTACAATAAGCAGGGATCCTGGATGTATAAGAGCTCAATTCAAGATTAGGCAGTGGTTTAGCTTGAGGATAGGTAGTATAGGCCGGGCAGCTGTGTGACCTAACTCTCCTTGCTTAGGTAAAATACATGATTTTCCCTGCATATGGGTTGTTGTAGGTATTAAATGAACCAGTATGAATAAACACCCCATGTCCAGCCTGTAATCAGTGCTGAGCAGGCACTTACTCTGATGTTGAACAGGTGGTGGGTGTGGTAGGGCATATATGGATAAGTGGACAGACAAGTGGGCAGCACTGCAGGTAGACAAATGCATGGGTCAGCAGGTAAAGGAGACTACATGCCCGAGGCACATGCAGTAAGTACTGCTTATTAGAGGTCCCACCCTGGGATTAGAAGAGGAAGCAGCCAAGGTGGTGTGAGATGGTGTCAGGGAATGATGAAGCTCCAAGGTAAAGAGGGGCAAAGAGAAAGGAGGCTGAGGACATAAGACTTGAGATGGCCCAGTGTTTGGGTGTGCTAAGTAAGTATGGCCAGAAAGGAGGGGAGAGCAAGAAACTCACCCCCACAATACTAGGAAGAATTTCATGGAGGAGGGAGCAAAGAAACAAATACCAACTGAGATCAGTTGGAAAAGCAAGAGGAAAGCAAGTAGTATCCATCTGGGGAGTGGTCCCTGAGGCCACCCCAGGCTTCCAGGTAGAAGAAGTTTTAATTTGGCTGTGGAAAGACTCAGCTGCCACAGGCTTATGAGAAGACAGGGGCAGGAGAGCAATTATAAGTGACTTTTTAGGGAAGATGAGCTGTGAAGGAGGAGATAATGCAATACCTGGGGAGGTAGGGAGTAGATTCAAAGAGGGCAATTCTAGGGTAAGAAACTGGACCTGCACTCAAGCTGCAAGAGAGGAGCCAGGACAGCACACAGCTGTCCTGATGGCAGCTGATATTTGTGGGAGGCAGAAGTGGCTGACAGGAAGAGGACAACTAAGGGACATCCATTAATGGGCAGAGGCAGACTAGGGAAAGAATCTCAAGGGTGTCTTCCCATGGCACATCTCCAAGAGGAAGAGCAAACTCAGATCCATAAGCGAAATGCAGTAGGCAGGGAGAAGTGAAGTCCTTCAACCCAAATTCACCCAGCCCAGCCCAGCCCTCCCAACCCCAGGCAGCCCTTCAGCCCAGCCATACCTACAGATTTTGTCCGTGGAATCCCCTTCCGCAGAGAGCCGGGCAGCTTCTCTGGGCCTGGGAGGCCCTGGCGCTCAAACAAGGACTGTAGGGTCAGGGAGGGGGAACATGGAAGTTCCAGGGCACTGGATCACCCAGTTCTCCATGCAGCCCCACCCATTCTCCTAAGCTGGAGACCAGACACCCCACACATTCCTTCAAAGGCACTGGTGCCCACGTTCAGTTGGAGCCTGAACTGTTGTTGGTAGTGTAGATGGACACAGTATAAAAGGTAGGTACAGATCCTGGGCATAGTCTGAATAAAGAGGGAGTAGTTCAGGAAGTGCCAGGTGGGGTATGGGCACCTTCTAAACAGGGGCATGCTGTGCTATGGGCCCAGCAGAGCTGGGGGAGCCTAGCGGTCCTAGGGTGACATAGTAGCTGCCTGAGGTCAGAAACACTAAAACTGTAGCCATAGAAGTGAGCTAACTATGGCTATTTGAAGGGCTGAGATGGTCCCAAGTGTCTCCCAGAGAGACCATGGAGAGCTCCACCTCCTTTGGAGAAGGGAACCAAATGAAGAAATCTTACCTCAGAAGAGAGGTGCATGACCCTCTGATCCCCAGGCCCGGACCTGACCATCCCAGAGCCCCGGCCCAAGGCTGGCTTACGCTGATCTCAGCAGGGGTGATCCTCCGGCTGGTGGGCCGCTGCTTAACAGTGGCTGCCCTGGAGTCAGCATCTGCAATGTCTGGCCTCAGTGTTGGCTCTGCAGCAGCTGCCAGTATTTCATCCAGCTTCTCTGCACAGCCAAGGAGATATACCACCTCAGCCCTAGGGCTGCCTTGGCCCCATTGCCACACCTACCTAGTCCAGCCTCACGGCACTAACAGGAATCAATGAGCCCTGCCCATGCTTGGGCCTCTCCCCTCACTGTGTGAAGCCCCAAATCTTGTATCCCATCAGGGCCCCACACCTCAGGACCCAGCCAGCCCCTGCATTGGCCAGACTCTACTCGAAGCGATGCCAAGTATCCCTGGGGACACTAGAAGTGACCATGATGACTGACCGTAGGGAGATCAGGCAGGGGAACAGACCACTTAGATCAATATACTCCCCTCCCCCGACCTTTTGCTTAGTGCCTATTCTTAGCATATGGTCTATCGCTCTTCACTCACCAAGGTAAGCTATTCTTAGTGGGATCACTGCCCTGGGACAGAGTCTAATAATGTTCAAACAGGTATCCACAAGAGCTGTCAAATGGGTGAATAAGCTGATAACCAAAGAATGAACAGACAGATGAGGAATACTTCCTAAGAAGTAGTTTAATACAAAACAGGGTCACTGCTCTTTCCTCCTTACCCATAAAGAAAGGCAGCTCCAGTGAAGTGGGAGGTAAGGAAAGGAGAAGAATGGGTATGGTGCTAGAAAGGACCCTCCAAACTCCTCAGAAAGCAGATCAGATCCATGTAAGGCAGATGCCTAAACAAGGCCCAGTTGGTTGAGAGGCACCAGGCAGCAGACACATATTCTTGTCACATCCATTATAAAAAGAAAAGCTGTGGCAAAGTATGGTGGCACATGCCTTTAATTCCCACACTTGGGAGGCAGAGGCAGGTGGATTTCTGTGAGATTGAAACCAATCTGGTCTACATAGCGAGTTCCAGGCCAGCTGGGGCTACAGGGAAACCCTGTCTCGAAGAAACAAAGAAAAAAACAAAAAAATAAATAAAATGAAAATCTGCATTTAGCTTTCATTAAAGATACTGTTTTTTTAAAATGGTACTTTGAAAAATATATATTTAAAAAACTGATCCCACTAGGAATAGCTTACCTTGGTGAGTGAAGAGAGATAGACCATATGCTAAGAATAGGTGAGTGAAGGGTGCTGGGGGGTGGCTCAGAGGGTGAAGTGCTTGCTGCACAGCATGAGGACCTGAGTTCAGATCCTCAACACCCATGTAAAAAGCTAGGCATGGTAACACATGCCTGTAACTCCAGCACTGGAGGCAGGGGGTAGGGTGGAGACAGATAGAGTCCCAGGACTCACTAGTCAGCCAGCCTAGCCAGAATGGTGAGCTCAAATTCAATGAGAGAACCAGTCTCAAAAATAAGGTAGAGAACAACTGGGGAAGATGCCCAACAAGGACCTCTAGGCTCCACATGTGCATACACAGTTACATTGTACACACACACACACACACACACACACACACACACACACACCACACCCCAAAAGGAAGAGAGAATGGTACTTTGCTTATCAAAAAGATTTGGCTAGAGAGATGGCTCAGTAGTTAAGAGCACTGGCTGCTCTTCCTGAGGACCCACACTGACAGCTACCAATCATTTCATAATTCCAGTTCCAAGGAATTCAATGCCCTCTTCTGGCCATTGCAGGCATTGCATAACACAGGAGTTTGCCAGCTCCCTCTACAGAAAAACTTGTAATACATACAGACTAGGGGACTAGAGATGCAAAAGGTCTTCTCATTTGTCTTTGTAACTAAGTGGATAATTTCCTGGCCAAGTCCTTGGTGTGTGCCACAGAGGACACATCCAAGATTCCACTATCACCCTTCTTTTACCCAGGAGCAATCTGGAGCAGAAAAATACCCCAGAGCATAAACCCCTCTATGGCCATGTTATCCAGAAACTGCAGGAAAGAAAAGTCCATGAGATTTTGGTGACATTTTTTTCCCACTAAGGCACACTGTGACCTGAGTCATGGGCTTAGAGAATATATATTTCTAACTAAAAAGTCCAATAAAACCTGCTCCCAGACACCTAAGCAATGTGAACACAAAGTTTGGGGTCATAAGGCAGTGCTGCTGGGGCCAACCAAGAATTATTTCCAAAAGGGAAATAATTATTGATTCTATAGCAGAAAAGTTGGAAGACTTTTCCCCCAACATAAATCCCCAACAAAATTATAAAACATAATCCTAACTAATTTAGATACCTAAAAATGAAATAAAGCCCTTCGGAACCAGGAACCCCCACTGCCCTGGGACCACCTGGGTGCAGGGCAGGGGAGAAAAGAAGGATACATGGTAGTGACAAATCAGTCACTTCCCACACAGCTGCAGGAGGTGCACTAATACACTGAAGGACAGAGCTATGATATTTCGGAAATAGTTTGCTTGACTCCCCCAAGGACAAGGAGAAAGGGATTCTTGGAGGAGACCTCATCTGTTTTTAGTACAGGAAACAAGAGATCTGAGCAACAGAAGATTTGGGGAGGGGGTGCCTGCTGGTCATATGCTAAGAGCAGAGAGTCCCCCCTGCCCAGGCAAAATGTAATGCATCAGAGGAGAGTGATAGAGAGAGACTAGATACACAGACAATGAGTAAAACCACACACTTAGGGCTCTGGGTCTATCTGAGCCTGACTCCCATCCACTCAAGAGGCAGAAGAGGCAGCAGAAGCCAGGCCCCTAGACCTCCCCAGATTCTGGATCTTAGTACCTAGCCCAGGCCCTGGTACCTCTATCCCAACATGGACACTGTTCCCTGCAGCCAGCCTGGACACAAAAGTCACATGGGAAAGAGTCTGAAAGGGCACAGGGGTGGGGCCTTTAGAGGGGGTAGTAAAGTCAACAGCTTGGGAGGATTCTAGGCAGCAGTGTTCAGCTCCTTTCCCAGTGCTGTGGGATTCAGATCCCTGTTCTGAAGCAGCACTGCTCTGGGCTCAGACCTACAACTAGCCAGCATGAGATTGAAGCCCATGGCCCAGGCAAAGGAAAAGACAAAAGATGCAGCACAGGACAGAGCTTAACACCCTGACATCACTATCTGAACACAGCCCAGTTACCAGGTTCCCCTAAGTTCCATGGCCTAGTACTCAGAGATTTCCCTTTGCCCATTCTGGGCCACGACAACTGCAAGGGCCTCCTACATCAGGGGATCTCCTACCTTCTCCCTACCAGATTATCTCTATAAACCACATTCCCTAGGTCACCTGAGCCCACAAGGACCATAGTTGCACCTCCCTGCTAATCCCAGTTGTTCCTCTCGGAACTCCCCATCCATCCTTCCAAGGCCCTTCACCATGTCCCTACCAGATCCCCAGGGAGGACAGGAGGGTATGACATATTCTAGACCACTCTGACTTGTACTGGAGCCTCCTCACACCCCATACCTCTTAGCAGAGGCAGGCAAGCTGAACCTAGAAACATAGTGAATGACTTACCCCCTTTTCTTCTCCGAATAGAGGCTTGGAATTGAGAAACAGAGCAAAAGGGGTAAGAGGCAGGCCTTATCCCATAGCACCTGGGCCCATTCTGCACTATGGTATCCCATCCCTATCCCCTCCACTCCCACCTCCCCAACAACCAGACTTCACAGGTCTGTCCCCACCTATACCTCCTTCTTAGACCAGGAAAAGAAACCTACCAAGACTCTGAAACTCTAGAAAGGAATAAGCAAAAGCAGCAATATATCCTGGAGTATATATGCTGGACTATAAGCAGGAATGTAGGCATACACATGCATATGCATGCACACACATGCACACAAGCAAATGTGTACACATGCACCTATGAACACACATGGAGATATGCACAATTAAGCCATACTTGGATTAGTCAAATATTTATTCAGAACAAAGACATATGACTATAAAAACTAAGTTCAGAAGCCACTGTTAACCAAGATGGCTACCTGTGAGCATTCTGTGCAAAGTAGGTTTTTTGTTTGGTTTGGGTTTTGTTTGTTTGGTTGGTTGGTTTTGGTTTTGTTATTGTTGTTGTTGGTTGGTTTCACAGTATTGCAGATGGAAACCAGAGACTTGAACACACTGAGTAAGCACTCTACTACTGAGCTATCCCTCCATACTCCAAAGCAAGTTTTCTAGAAACAGACACGTTTGATAGAGAAATCTTTTCCAGACTAAAGCAGTAGCAGGGACCTGCCCTGATGTCTCATCACAAAAGAAAAAGAAGCCCAGAAATTATAGGGAAGTCTTGATTTCTCCTAAGTAGATGAACAGAAGGGGCTTAGTCCCACCAGGTCCAGATCTAGGACTAACCTAGATTAACCTCTGAGTCCATCATGTCCTTGGTTCAATCTGAGGAGATATGTACATGGTAAAGAAAGAAGCCCCAGACTAGAAAGAGAATGGAGTGAGGGGTGAGGTGTGTGCTTCCTTCCTCCTTCCTCCCATCTCTCGTGGACAACCCTTTATCCTTTCTTTGAAGACAGGGTCCTACAACATAGGCCAGGCTGACCTTGAACTCACTCTGTAGCCCAGACACGAGTGGAACTCACAGCATTCCTCCTGCCTCAATCTCTTAAGTGATAGGATTACAGGTATGTGCCACCCCACAAAATTCCCACTCATTTCTGCCAGCAACCATTTTTTTTATCAGCCTTTACTTACCCCATTAGCCCCCAGGAACTCATCCCTCTTCTTCCTTCTACAGGAACTTGCCTCATCCTCCACACACCATGAGCCACCTGGGTATGAGCCTCCACCTTTGCAACCCTCACCTTATACTGTCTTTTTATTCCAGGTGGTCAGGTCATCTTTTTGATAGACATGATTCCTGAAAGGTTCCATCAGTGACTGGCAGGATGGACATGTTTGTAACAGTGCCCACTCAACATATCTTATTTTACCTTTTAAAAAAACAGGCATGGTGAATACCTGAAATCCAAGCACTAAGGAGGCACAGATAGTTTAACAGCAGCCTGAGCTACATAGAATGGCCTTGTCTCAAACATAAAAAGCACAAACACTGGATTGTAGGATGTTCTCTAGGCACTTGGGGAACCCTGATGTTGAGCTGCCTTCTTCAAACCAAGTATTCCCAGAGGGGCCAGGTCAAGAGGTAGGCAATGATGTCTTCTGGGGTAGAATAACTTTCTAACCTCCAAACTACCTGGCCCTTCTCTCAACATGGCACCATTTAGAACCTGGTTCCAAATTCAACAGCTATGACCCTGGGTCCAGAACTGTAGGCAAAGGTTCCTACTGAGCTACTCCCACACCCCTTGAGACTCTGCTCAGAAACAACCTAATACCCTGCTCCTCTGGCCCAATGTCTGCAGCACAACTGCGGTAACCCTCTCTCAAGGTTCTAGAACTGAGGGGGAGATTCACTTCTGCTCCTGCTTCTGCAGGCAGAAGTCAAAGCCAGAAGAAACTCTTCCACTCTCACAGGGCTGAGTCTCTAGATCCCTGATTGCAGAGCTCAGGATGACTAACACCTCTTTGTGCAAGAGTAGAAGTGTCTACTCTGATCTGGGTATGTAGCAGCTTCTAGCAAGACTCTAGGACCATGCACCAATCTTGTCTGGTATCAAATCAGACTCAGCTATCTACTCCCATTGGCTTACTGATCTATTATCACAGGTCAGCTTCCTGTGACTAACCTGGGTTGGATTAGACTCTAAAGTCAAAGGTCTTCTGGTGTCTCTGCTCACTCAAGTCAGCAGGTTTGGCTTGGGGTATATAATTAGGTAGGAAGGTATCTTCACTCTATTTTCCATCTTCTGCCTTCTATCACAGCTGATGAAAAGTCTGTAGTCAGTCAAACCATTGCTCACTTCTAAGTCAACTGGCTCACTCTAACCCCTTCTCTGGTAGTTTTATTTTTTTTTTCTGCTTGTCTACGGTATTCTAAAAGTTTTACTCTGACAGATCTAGACACGTATTTGTTTGTGAGATATAGATATAAATATATTCAGAACAGAGTCCTACATCTCTGTTCACTTTAAGGAAATTCTTAGCCTTTTTATTCTTTTTCTCTAGAGCTCCCCAAGAAGATGTTGAGGTCTCCTTGCTTGTTCTCATGTCCCCCAACTGCTCTTTGATATCCACCTCATCTGCTTCCTGATCTGATGATAGGTAATTTCAGGCTGACCTTACTACTCACTGCTTTGTTTTCAGCTGAATCTGTGTTATCCAAACCATAGATCCTTATTAGCTGTAACTGTTTTTTCAGTAACAGTTTTTTATGGATTCTTCCCAAATGTGCTTATTGTTTTTCCTCTTGTCCTGTAATTTCACTAATTCTGTTAGTTCTCTTGCCTTTATAGTAACTTAAATCTTTTATTTCACTCTCATAGTCTTCTCTCATCTCCAGCTCTTTTTATGCTAATTCCAGTCCCTGTGCTTGGTTCTGGCTTTCTTGTCTCTCACAGGCCCATAGCACATCTTCTAGCCTTGTAGGGCTGCAGAGCGCAACACTGCTCTTGGAACCTCCATGAGGAGCAAGAAGCACCAGTTTCCAGTTCCTCTGGCTTTGATTTCCTGCATCATTTCTAAGACCTGAGAATTCCTCCTTTATACCAATATCTATAGTTTTAATTTTATTTAGAACAGTTTTGTCAAGGAAAATCCTGACCATGTCAGCCCACTCTATCTTGATAACTGCTTTTCAAAGTGAACTAAACTGAAGTCAAAGCACCTGCTCAGAACGGGACTCAGTCCATGAACAAAGGCAGGGATAGTTCTGGGAACCAGGATAAGGGATCCTTTCATGACTGAAGACAGAGCAAAGTCTGGGACTGAGACTAGGCTCAGACCATGGAAGCAAAAGGTATTTCAACCCATCATATGTATTAGGATACACCCACCATGAGATTGTTGTTATTTAAGATGCACCCACGGCATGGCTCTTAATAATCACATGTATTAGCATATGCCCACAATGAGGATACAATCACATATTATCAAGACACACCCATGAGAGACAGTAGCTGTCCTGTGTGTCAAGATGTGGTCATGCATATTGGACATGCCTGTGATGAGGCTGGTAATGGATACATGTTAAGATATAGTCATGTATATGGGACATGTCCATAACAGGACTGGTAACTGCCACATGCCAGGATGCGGTGGTGATACTCATAGGATGTGCCCATGAGAAAGCTGGTAATTATCATACATGTAAGGATGTGGTGGTCATACACATGGGACACACCTATGCAAGGCTGTTAAGTGTCACATGTCTGGATGAAATGGTCATGCACATGAGATATGCTCATGAGAAGGCTGGTAACTTCCATACATGTCCAGATATAATGGTCATACACATGGGACATGCTCATGAGAAAGCTGGTAACTGTCACATGTCAAGACATGGTGGCCATGCACAAGAGACATGATCATGACAAGGCTGATAACTGTCATACATATATGATCATGTATGTGGGAAGTGTCATATACATGGGACATGTTCATGATAAGGCTGGTTAACTGTCACATGTAAGGACACAGTCATATACATCAGGACATGCCCACAATGAGGCTATTTATGGTCAACCTGGGACTGTATCTATCAAAGCTTAACATACTTTTGTCCACTTCCTAAAGTTCACAAGACCCCCTCCCCTCACTGTAATACAGGGGCTCACAATGTCTCTGTTAGGTCAGGAGACTCACTTGGCAAACGACTGAACACGCACCAACAGATAAAACAAACACAAAGATGACCTAGCTGAGGATAAACAGAGCCAGGATCAGACTCCAGATTGACCAACCACTTGCTCATCCCAGTTAGGCTGAAATGCAGGAGCAAAGTCAAAGTGGAAATGTTGAGAGCCAGAGGCAGCACTAGCACACACATATATGCAAGTGTGCACACATGCTATGGGGCCAGACACTGGAACCCAAACATCCGTCCATCTCTAGTTCCTCACCCTGCCCTGGGTCCTCACCCCATCATATGCCATCCCACTCCTCACCTCAGATGCCCAATTTCCCCATTGCTCCAGCACCTACTCTAACTGCTGATCTGCCCCTGCATCCATTTTCTCTCTCCCTTCTATTTCTACCTGGCCTTAGCCCCAGCTCAGCACCACTGCCCTCCCACACTGCCTGTCTTCACCTCAACTTGGCCACCCCATCGTAGGCCACCCACCTGCTGTCTACACCCAATGCTCACCAAGTTCCTCCAGCTCGGCCGTCATAGACTTGGAACGCAGGGTCAGTGTGGTACTGGGAGCCCTCTTCGGGGGTGGTGGGGCTGCAAAGAAGAGGGAGGCCTTGGCCCTCCTGTCTAGCAGCAGGCGGCGAGGCGTGGCTAGGTGCAAATGCCACTTGCGCTCCACTGCCTGGATCTCCTCGTACTCCCGTGAAGACGAGTCACACTGTGCCAAGATCTTGTTCAGACTGCGGCTAGACGCAAACTTCTTCATGGTGTGAGGACCTCGGGTAGCACTGGGGCCAAGGCAATTGGGCCTCTGGCCCTTGAGATCCCCAGAGCCAAAGCCACAGATGGCAGACAGTCAAACGTACCAGCAGGGGTCAGGGTGTTGGCTGGCTCTGGCCTGAGAATCCACCCTGCAGGCTCCACAGGCCCAGTGAGTAGGCACCACCCATGGGGGGCTGGGTGGATCTCCTGCCAGGCTACCTCCTGACTGCCCAAAGCTCCTCAGGCCCAGGCACCACTGCTCTTTGTGGGACCACAGTGTGACCAGGGAAGCTACAGGCCTAGGCTAGGCCACGGCAAAGCTTCTTGGGCCCAGGCTGTGCAGCCTCTTTGGCGTCGGCACAGGGAGAAGACGCTTTTCCTCTTCCCTCAGGTGCCGCCTCCCCCTTCCCCGCACAATAAGCAGCAGCAGCAGCAGCGTCAACCTCACAGTTACCATGACAACCCGGCCTCCAGGCAGCTGCTGGCTTCAGGAAGGAGGGCTTTACCGTGACAGGGCAGGGGCACTCATTGAAGGAGGGGACAAAGATTTAAGGATGGGGAATTTAAGGTCAGGAGTCAGAGGCCTGGTGAGGGGTCAGGCATTTAACACAAAGGATGTGGGTAGCAAATGTGGGCATTTCCTCTAATCTCAGGCAGGAATGTTATGTCAGCAGTATAAGATCAGGAATGGAGAGAGAATATAGGCCTGAGATCAAACGGCTAGGGGCAGGAACCAAGGTTAGAGTACCTGGACAAGGTCAGCAGCCTAAGGCCTCACCTCTGCGCCGAGCACCATCCTCTTCTGGTTTCCTGGTCACAGATACAACCTTCATAACCAAGCGATTGCCACCCTGACGGATCAGACCCACTACTTGCTTATGTCCAACCTTCACAACGTTCACTCCATTCACCTGAGACAGACAAGTTGATATGTGGTGTGCTTAAGTGTACCCACTCAGAGCTTGGGAGTTAGCAGCCACCTCCCCCTTGCTGGACAGGATCAGGATGGGCCTTACCTCGATGAGAAAATCCCCAGTGCGCAACCCAGCCCTCCAAGCCACACCCTCTACATCCACAGACTCAAGGTACTGGAGTGCAGGGAAGGCAGGTGTGGGGGTGAACTCCTCAATGGGGGTCTCTGCTGCAGAAGGGCAAGATAAAAGGCATTTACAAGCACAGATCAGGTAAAGGGGGCTCCACACGGCAACCTCAACAACCTTAAGATACATGACTACTGGAGCAGAGAAAACTAGGGTATGATAGGTAGCAGGTGGGGGTACCCAAACCAGTACATCAACACACATCCATCTGCAAAGTCCCCCATTCACCCTCAATAAAAAAGCCCCTACTCTGTTAGGCTCCTGACAAGAGAATGGAATACAGTAAAGGGAGAGACCTGCTGCCTCATACTGGTACATTTCAAACCAAGACATACAACCACAGCAGAGGATGAGAGGGGCTAAACAAGGAAAGGAGCAGAGGCAGGACACAAAAAACATTCCCAGCATTGGCACCCTCATGGCACCCACACCATTATTACCTTTGGCGCCCCGGAGCACAAAGCCAAAGCCCTCGTGGTCCCGTTTTTGCAGGATAGCCACCTTGTCATCAATGACATAATCGCTGACAGAGGAAAGCAGGGTTGCGTGAGGAGAGCCCTGCAAGGAACCTGGCAGCCAGGCTGACCCTACAGGGTCCCAAAGGCACAGTATACCTCAGAAGACGACAAAAAAGACAGGTGGCTAGGTATTCACTCCTTGACCACCTCCCACCTCCTACACCCTCCACCCCTTTCATCACACATTCTGTGCCATATACACAGACCCAACCAGTGTCCCTATGTTTCCGCATCCCTGCCCCAACCCCTACCAGTACCTGTGTGAAGTGAGGCTGTCATAGGAGCCCACAGTGTAATGGCGGAAAAGACGCTTCGTCCGGTCCTCCCGGGTTTCTGGAGGAAATATCAGAGGCTGAGGAATGGTCATGGCCTCCACCTGGGTGAACTTCCCCCCAACTACATTAATCAGTCTCTATCCACACAAACTCTAGGGCCTATTTTTTTTTACCAAAGAGGGGGAAAATCTTGGGGTTCTAGGCCCAGAAGTACTAAGAATCAGAGAACCATACAAAGAATTCTGGTCTCTGAGAGTTAAGGCCCAAGGGGAAAGCAGCCCTTGCTCATTTCTCCTTAACATGCAGTTAGACACAGGAAACCAAACAAGGTCAGGCTAGTCCAGTCAGCAAGCCTTAGAGCTAAGAGTACATGTCTATGTGCCTCACAGTCATGTGTAAATGCTGTGTTGATACTTATGTGTGTCTGTGACCCAGTGTGGTTAAATGTTGTATTTACACTTATTATCTGTATGTAACCTAGTCATCAGTAATGTACACATGTATCTGTGTGACTCAGAGTGTGTACAAGGGCTAGGCTAGTACAATATATGTTATGTGCTATCAGCCCATGTATACCAGTATGGAAACATCTCAGTGTGTTCACTGAATTCCTCATAGCAGCTAGATAATGCCACCTCAGGGAACAGGGAAAAGATAGCTGGGTCCCTTCCCCTGATTTCACTGGATTCCATAGAACTTTGTCCCCATCTGTTCTTTGATCTCAAAATTCCTCATGGACACTATGGAACTGGCCAGGATCTAAGGCCTTGCTCAGCCTTGCAGATGTCATTTCAATCCACAACCAAGACATTAGGCTTCAGAATGGCTCCTCTGGCTCCATTTGCAGTGCCTCAGAAGGCCCTCAGGATGGCACTGCCACTGTTTTCCATTTCATCCCTCAGCATCTTCCTCTCGTTCTCTCTTGCAATGTAACACTTCTTAAGACTCGTTTTTCACTTCCATAAGCATTTACTAAGCTTCTACTACATACCAGATACTGTTTATTTTAGGCTACAGGAATATATCAAAGAATAAAGTCTCTGCCTTTGAATCGTTGATAAGCTATTCTCAAGAGTTTAAATAAATGCAAAGCACTTGAGAGAAAAGAAAGCAGGAAAAGGATGTATTAAAAAAAAGAAAGGTACAAGGGCTAGAGAGGTGGCTCAATTGGTTAAAAGCACTGGCTGCTCTTGCAGAAGATCCAGGTTCACTTCCCAGTACCCACATGGCAGCTAACAACCATCTGAAACTCCAGTTCTAGGGGATCCAGCACCTCTTCTGACCTCCACAGGCATTGCACACATGGGCACACCTACATACATGCAGGCAAAACACCCATACACATAAAATAAAAATAATTTTAAAATCTTTTTTTTTTTAAGTGCAGTAATAGGAACAGCAAAGGCCTCACCAGAAAGGAGAGCTAAGCAAAAGCCCAGAGATGCAAGGGAACAGCCTGTAGATATGAGGGTGAAGGGCTTCTAGAAGTGGAGCAGTCAAGGCAAAGCCCATGCAAAAAGCATCAACCTGGAGTATGCAGGAACAGTGCAGAGCCTGTGCAGCTGGAGCAGAAGGAACATGCATGTCAAAGGACAAATGGACACAAACAGGGATGAAACAGTGGCTCTATGGGACAGGATGATCTTCAGGTCATATGACACAGCTATCAGGAAAAGTACTGGTCCAGATTTCAGGATTCTACCACCAGGTATGTGATTCTCAATAAGGCAGGTGTTCCCTTTGAGCTTTTCTTTACACAACAGGAAGAATCTTCTTGGAAGGCCCTGAGTCCTAGGTAGCCTGTTATCACTCTGGCCTCATCAGCTCCTTTCCCATCTCCTTCCCACATGGCCCACCATGACTAAGTGGCAAACCCACACTTGCCATCCCTGTTCCCAAAACCAATGCAGGTGAAGCCTCATCATCATACAAGTGGGGCCTCAAACTACTCCTGCCCTCCAATACATCCTTCTTCAGGCTCACTCAATCACAGATATGCTCACAGAATGATCCACTCCCCTAGGTTATCTATCCTAGACAAAACCGATTTAGGAGCTGTGCTATGCAGAAGCCTCCAGTTCCAGCAACTCTGTGGCCCTCTACCTCGTGACCTTGGCCCACCCTACCCATCTCTGATTTGCCCTATCCAGATCTTAACCCTGATCCTAAAAAAGATGCATAGTTAAACAACCCTATCCTGATCAGCTCCTACTTCAAAGCCTCTCATTTTTAAATTTGTCAACCGGGCAAACTATTATAATACAAATTCATTTCCAATTTTATTAATCACACACATGAAAGTCAGCTGAAGGGAATATATCTAGCACTGGCCCCAAGTGAGGAACATACCAGAAAAGAGAGGGTAAGCAACGTGGGCAGGTATACTGGGCCTCAAGGTCCTTGCACTAACTGGTGTCAACATTTCCCAACCTCACAGCTCAACTTTCTCTACCTGCTTCAGTCCTGTGGGAGGCTGACTTCTCTTCTCAGTTAATGACCAGGACTTGTTTCCTAGTCCTTTGGCAGATGTTCACCTAGCTTGTATGCTATCCTTAATCATTAAAGTTCTCCTCTGTTCCCACTCTGGTTCCTGAATCAGACATTTTTTTTGGGGGGGGGGTGGATCTGGATCTGGGCCTGCTGGAAGCAGGTTCCTATTGGTGAGATATCCTCTGCCCTCTAGCACAACTCAGCCTGGGTCCCAGACAGGAAGTTCTGACCAGAATAACAGGCTAGGCCTGCAGTTGAGGTCAAAGGGAAGCCATTACTGCTCCTTACCCCTCCCTAAAGGGAGCCACAGCAGGACCCTTACACTATGTCTACCCGTGTAGTATCCATTCACCCAGGTACTTTTGAATCTAACTCCCCTAGGTCACCTATGCTAGCTGTGGCCCTGTTTAGGAGTCCTGTGACGGCTATGAAGCCTTCAGGAGCTACGGCACTCCCACACCAGCTGCTCTGTGACCCTCTCCCTTCTCCGTGACCTTGACCCACCCTATTCACCTCTGCTCTGTCCTACCCAGATCTTGACCCATATCCTAAAATATCTGCCTAGTCAGCTCCTACTACAAAAACTATTCATTACCTTGACCCTAACTAAAGACAGCTGACTAGCCTCATGTGCCAGCCTTCCTACTTGCTACTTACAAAGCTAACAGCCCATGTAGCCAAAGTATCCCCTGCCTCTCATGGCTGATAACACCCCAGAAACATACTAACCACTGGCTCCGCCTCCCAGGATTGGTGGGACATGCCCACAACTTCATACATGTAAAAATTCTAAAATCGTGCCTGGTACTACTCAAGTAAAGAAGTTGCCAACACGCACTGCTCTAGAATACTGTGCCGGATCCCTACAAACATGGATGGAATCCTCTGGACACCATCCAGAGGCGTCAGCCTAAACACCACCTCTGCTTTGAAGTCTCAGGCACTCTGGATCTCCCATTCTCAATGGTCTCTGCTACACGCAAACTGGAACACTTGCCATAACCACTGGCAGCCACCACAAGGTCCAGCTTAGAGCAAAATTGAGAAACATCTGCTCCTTTCAGATTCTGACTCCAGTTCAAACTCCACTTCTTCCTCAGCTTCAGAACAAGGTCCAAATGTTCCTGGAGCCACAGTTCTCAGAACCTTATCTCCATTCCTATGGGAAAGCCCAAGACTAGTTCCTATTCAACAGGTGTGTAGTCCCTGTCCCTTTCTAGTCCCTTTCCTCCGTCCTGTTGGAACTAGGGCACAAACCATTCCCACCTGGATGCCATTCTATCCACCCTCCACAAGCAGTGAATACGGGGGACCATTCTGTTCTATACCAACAACCCATGAGGAGTCATCAAGGTAGGGCATGGATATGGATAAGCCAAGCAAGACGGCAAGGCACCTAGCTAGCAGTAGGTTAAGAAGTGAATGCCTGTCAACCTAGGCCTCAACCAACTTTGGCACAGGGCAAAGGTTCCTGGCCACATGGATATAGACTCCCCTTGGAAACTATCAACTTTGGGTAGGGGACCACCACAACCCAGGGCCCAAGCCCTCCATGTGTAGAGGGAGGGACATGTGTACCCTGATCCAGACACACCACTGAAAACAAGTGAGAACCACAACTCAGGAAGGGTTCATTGGTTCTACTCACTCTCTGGATCAGAAGTAACATCATCAATCAAGGACTCAATAAGAGTATACCCCAGACATGTAGCCAGCCCAAGGGGCTCCACAGGACTAGCCACGTTTCCACCAGCACCTAAAGGGATCCTTCCTCTAAACCCAGGTATACAGCAGGATTGGACCACAGCTTCTCAGCAACACCAGGAACTGCAGCCTTCACCTTCACATCTTCCCTGCTATAAGGATAGGGATCATCCTTCACCAGCTGCCCTCAGACCATACCAACCCCAGAGTACCCCAACCACTCCTTGGGGCCCAACTGGCCTCATTTCCTCTTGGCTGGTCCAGGAGGCTGAGCCTCCTGCTCTGCCCACTTGGACAATCTGTCCACTTTGGAAAAATGCCTCTTTTCTCACATTGACCTCCTTACTTGCCTGCCAGTTGCACATGAATTGGGAGCTACAAGTATCTGGTATTCCTGTGAAGATTATGCCAGGAGGGGTGGTCACTGTCATGGGGGACTCATGTACCAACATACTGAGGACAACCATGACAGTATACCTTCCTGTTTACATGGCAAAAGTTCTTCACTGGGAGTGAAATGTCCGGTTCACATATTCATGTTCCTACGTAGAAGCATTAATGCCCACACTGTGTGTACATGTACAAGTTTGTATGTATCTGGAGTATATTTGAGATTACTTCTCAGATTTTTCTTTGTGAACATCTAGATTTGTCATCAAGAAGACCAAAGGAAACTGGAAGCATGTGCCCTTTGGGAGCTGCCTGGGGAAAGAGGGTCACTTACCATGCCGTGTGTCATACTGTCGCATCTGCACCTCTTCCACACAGTCAGCTGGGAACCAGCCTGTACGGCCTTTCACGGTCCCCTCCCAGAAACCGCCCTCCCCGATGCTGAGCACTGGAGGAAGAAGCCAGACAGGTTGTCAGGGCAGAGTAGAGCAGAGGTGCAGGGTACCCACTTCCCTGCCACCTGAGACTCAGGTTCTGCCCATGACCCTACCCCTGGCTCTCCTTCCCATCCCACACTCTCCTAGTTTTTTCCTTTGGAAGATTCTGGATCTGTACAGAAGAGAGAATTGAACAGATGGACTTAGCAAAGGATGGGCATGTGGAGGACAGAGACACAGATGGACACACTTAAGGAGGACAGAGGCAGAGGCAGGGGCCATACTGCCATTCCTGCCCCCAGTGACCACTCTCCCCCACCATGGCAACTGACATCCACCCAAGGGTCACTGCCAAGAGCTCAGGGTCAGTGGAGTGGCCAGTGGAGTAAACCACATAATGTCCTCCCAACTACTTCTATCTCAAAGATACACAGTGCCCAAAGTAGGACCCCAATAATGATAGACAGCCCCATAAGAGGGGATTGTCTCCCCCAAACAGGCAGCACCCATGAAAGAAATGTGCATGGTACACAGAACCACTCTTATCACAGATCTCCCCCAAGATTGGGCAAGTCCTCCCTCACCTGTATCCCAAGGATTTTCAATGAATAAGCCCCAAAAGTGACAGAGGAACCACACAAGGCACGGGAGCTCTGTAATGGGTTAGGGTCCTCCCAACACAGGGACCTGGGTGTCGCTGGCCCCCATCATGACAAGAACCGCCCCAAAACAAGAGCCATGCCTCTACCATGACAGCGAGCCACATGACAGGAGCCCATGAACACCAGGGCCACGGACACAGGGTTCCCGACGCGGCTGCATGGTATAATGACCAGGGACATCCCGACCACAGAGACCCCAAAATGGCATCGGCTCGGCCACGCGCCCGACCCCGCCCCCCCCGCCTCCCCCCCGCGCCCCTCACCCTTCACG